ATTTAGAGCTGCACTTGTTAAATTCGGCTATGTTCAGACACAGTCAGATCATACTCTCTTTGTGAAGAAAAGTGGATCTCTAGCAGTGTATCTCATTGTGTATGTTGATGACATTATAGTGACTGGTGATGATGCCTCAAGCATTCGAGCCCTTAAGTCTTTCCTCCGTACAGAATTTGATATTAAGGATCTAGGGGAGTTGAGATACTTCCTTGGCATAGAAGTTGCTAGATCCAAGGATGGGATTCTTATTTTCCAGAGGAAATATGTCCTTGATTTGTTGTCTGAAACTGAAAAGATGGGTGCTAGACCAGCTGCAACTCCCATTGATATGAGTCGCAAACTTTCAACTTCGGATGGAACATTGTTGGAAGACAAACGGGTCTTTCAGAGACTTCTTGGGAAACTCCTGTACTTGTGCATGACTYGGCCAGATATTGCATATGYTGTCAGTTGTATTAGCCAGTTCATGCATGCTCCCAGAGATACTCATATGACAGCTGCCGAACGAATTTTGTGTTATCTAAAAGGCAATATTGATGATAGAAGATCTACTTCAGGGTATTGTAGTCTGGTGGCTGGTAATGTTGTCTCTTGGAGGAGCAAGAAATAATCAGTTGTGGCCCGATCCTTAGCAGAAGCAGAATACAGGGCCATGGTCCATGGAGTCTCTGAACTGTTTTGGGTAAGGTCATTGATGGAAGAACTTGGGATTGATCGTGACAAGCCAATGATGTTGTACTGTGATAATCAAACAGCCATCAACATTGCCCACAACCCAGTACAACATGATAGGACTAAGCATATTGAGGTTGATAGACACTTTATTCGAGAAAGAGTCTCTTCGGGTGAAGTGTGTCTTCCATTCATCACTTCTGAAGGACAATTGGCAATGCTTCAGTATGACACTAGCAAACTGGGCATGATTAACATCTATGCCCAGCTTGAGGGGGAGTGTAAAGGAGATGGGCCGAATGGCCCATAGGTTGTCATTTTATGTTATGTTTATGTTTTTCCTCTGTAATGGGCCTTATTCTGGGCCCATACTCTTATATACTCTGTTTTGTAATTTCTTGCCCATCCAAGGGCCCCTCTGTAATATTTCAAAGATTAAGTTAATAAAATGATTTAGAGTGTTAGAGGGAGGTTAAGTTCGAACATCTCTTCTCTAACTCTCTCATTGCCGCCAGCTCCTTTCCTCTCTCAACTTCTTAAGCTTCTCTTGTTCTTTTTCTGGTTTTGTATGTAATCTCAAGCTGTTTTAGACTACAAGAAGGTTATTTTCAACTAATCTCAATTGATTGAGCCTCATACCTTGTATTGAACAAGAAAGTGACCATGAAGTAAAATATGCTTGCAAAGCAGACTACTTTTACTAAGGAAAACGATTTGTAAAGAACCAAACGTGTAGTTGAATGGTATGACAAAGAATATAGCATATCATTATTCAATCAATTAAGAGATCATGAAACCCCTCATTCCACTGGGTTCCTAGATAAATCATTTCTCTAGAGCATGGCTTTTATGAGAAGGCATTTCAAGAAGTGAACTTCTTTAAAGGATTGGTTCTCTCTCTTCTTTCCTAGATTATTTTTTTTAGTTCAAAAATTTTGAATTTATCCTCAATAGATGAACAGAGTAGGGATTCTCCTTTATTAGAATGATAATGCATTCCCCAATTCTTTAGTTTCTGGCCAAAATGCATGAAACTGAAAGAACAATGAAACTTTGCAAGATTTAAAAACACTTCAACATTCTTTGCACTAGGCAGGATTCAATTTATTGTTTTACTTTTTATTTCCATTTCTTGTTTGCATTTTTTATGAGTTGCATGACAAGATTGTCATCTGTTTTTCTCTAGTCTGTATTTTTTTCTTGACCAGGTTTTGTATTCCTATTTGAGCAACTCAATCAATTTCCCCAATGTGCAAATATTAAATTGTTGTTTTCTCTGAGCTTTAACCAAATCTAGATATTTTGTGACTAAATTTTTTTCATAATGCTCTACAACCAAATCTAGATTCTAGAATAATGGTCTGCACATAAAAGTCCAGTTCTACCAACATTGTGCTGACAGTTATACAGTTGAACTGTTTGGTTAGGAAGGTCCTTGAACTCCCCATTTAGGAAGGGCACAAGCTGACTGTCTGGTTTAGTACAATTTTAAAACACTAGTAATAAGCAATACAAATACAATGACTAGTTTTCTGTTTTCTGTTTTCTTGCTTTTCCATCAGAATCTAGAACTAGCAAAACTAGCAATGGTGCTTCAAAGTTGAATACAAGCCAAGTTCTACACTCTAACTATAATATGTCTATATCTATACTATTAAAAGTGTGAATGGGAATGTGGAACTTTTGTTTGGCTAAAATACCCCCAATTTTTGAATTTGGTCCCTCTAATTGTATGGACAAAAATGTAATTTGAATAACCACTTTTCTCTTCATTCAAATCCCTCTCATTAAGTCTTATATTTAAGGTTTTAACTCCCATTAACATTCATTGAATCCTATTCTTGACCAGAATACCCCTATATTTGAATTTGATCCCTCTGTAATTGTAACGACACAAAATGTAACTTGAACAACTACATTTCTCCTCTTTCAATTCCCTTTCATTAAGTCTTATATATAGGGTATTAACTCTCATTCTTTCATTGAATCCTATATTAATTAGCCATATTAAAGAAAAATAAGTGTGACAAAGAAGAAGTATTTTTATTGATGATAGAAATAAAATATAAATTCAAAACCAACCCAAAATGGAGTTGATTTCCTCTTTAGTGGTGAGTCAACAATTCAACCTTTTGGGTCAAATGTGTCAACCCTTTATGGCATAATTAAAAAAAAATTAAAAAAAAAAAGATAAAACACACAAAAGTATAAAAAATACAATTTTTTGTACAAAATATTTGGGCACATTTCTAATATTATATATTCATCTAAACAAAAACAAATGTGACAAATAAGAATATTTTTTATAGGCACTATATATATATATATATATATATAAATTAGAAACATATTATTTATCATCATCAAAAATTGCCATGTGAAAAACACATGCCCACTTACTAGCACAGTAATATGTTAAGAAAAAAGCCATTTCCATGAAAAATGTTAGAAGCCATTGGCAGCACTCAAAGGGTCAATGACTAGTAATTTTACAGAATTTGAACGCATACATATCACCATTCTCATTGTACACCTCGCTCCCTAAAAGGAGGAGAGATATTATATCATCTAACCTTGAAAACAAGAAGCCCTATGTTTAGAGAATCATGTTAACCACAAAACCCTTACAACTAACCCAGGTGACAGCCATCTGGTAAGTGTGAAATATTTGGAATTTATAGTCCTCACCAGATTCATGGATGACCAAAAATGCATTCTACTTTAAAAGGAAGGAGAATACCATGTTGTTTCCTAATTAAAATTAAAACCATTTTTCTAATTTATAGATCTAAAACTGTCTTGTTTCCTAATAGAAATGAAAAAGTTAATTTATATCCTTTAATCACAAATAAAATCTAATTTAGTTTACTAACTCAAATTAAAAAAAAAAAAAAAAAAGAATAGCATAAAGCATTTCAAGCCATTACACTTGTGTGGATCCCATTCTTTTGCAATGAAGCGTATTTTGAGGTTTTGTATTTTAGGTGTAACAAAAGCAAATGTTCTGCTATAGCATCACCAATAATCCCCACAAGAACATGATCCGTCTCTGAAGTGGTGGAATCGATTAATGTCTCTGACAATGATCTCTCTTGAAACAATCTTACAAATGAACTTGAATGCAGTATGGCAATCCACACATACACGAAGGTTCTTCTTCACCCTAATGGGAGCCCCCTCTGGAGTAGCAATCAGCCCAAAAGCCACTGCAAGCTTCTCACTGTGGTGGAAGAGTAACCGCTCCTTCTCACTTCGGTCTACATCATGAAGGTCAATCTCTATCATAGGCACATATCCAGCTTTACACATCAGTTCACTCAATTCATCAAGTTTTGCATATATTTCTGCAGTTCTGGAATGACTTCTATCCCCAACAATAAAAGCATGTACTTTGTCTTTCACTTCAATCCAACTCATCCCAGGCTCCTTTTTCACTTTGCTATCCTTCATCAGCCTTCTCACCTTTGCAACATTTTCCCACATGCCCACTGATGCATACATGTTTGCAAGAAGAACATGGGTTCCTGATTTCTCTGGTTCAAGAGTAAAGAGCATTTCAGCAGCATGTCTACCAAGTTCAAGGTTCCCATGGATCCTAGAAGCACCAAGAAGAGCACCCCATACAGAGGCATTGGCTTCAAAGGGCATCTTGTTTACAAGCTCAACTGCCTCATCTAGTCTCCCTGCACGACCAAGGAGATCTACCATGCAAGCATAATGTTCTTGCATGGGTTCAATGCCAAATTGCTTATCCATTGATTCAAAATACTGTTTGGCTTCAGCAATGAGGCCTGCATGATTACAGGCACAAAGAACACTAACTAGAGTTATATGGTTTGGGAATACACCCTCCTCAAGCATCTGATGGAACAAACTTAATGCCTCTCTCCCCTGCCCATGTTGAGCAAGTCCCCCAATCATCGCAGACCATGAGACTATCCCCCTCTCTGGTATCTCCAAGAAAGCACGGTCAGCATCATCTACGCTTCCACACTTAGCGTACATGTTAACAAGTGCATTTCCTGCAAATACATCTGATATAAATCCAGACTTCAAGATGTGGACATGTATTTGTTTCCCTTGTTCATATGCAGAGAGATTTGCACAAGCATTGAGGAGGCTACTGCACACAAAACCATCAGGCCTAAGCCCCATATCCAGCATCTTCAGAAACAACTTCAGGGCTTCCTCACCTTGCCCATATTGAGAATAAGCTGTGATCATAGATGTGAAAGAGGCTACATCTCCAAAAGGGCATTCCTCGAAAATTCTTGTTGCATCTTCTATGTGGCTACATTTTCCATAAGAATCAATAAGGCTGTTTACAACATAACTATCATATTCAAATCCTGCTTTCATAGCAAGTGCATGGACTTGTTTAACCACTTCACTGGCTTGCAAGACAGCAGTGGATTTGAGGATAACAGATAAAGTGGTCCGGTTGAAGCCAAATCCTTCTTTTAGCATATCTATAAAGAGAGAGATAGCTTCTTTGTCCTCCCCATTCTGTGAATACCCTGATATAATAGCATTCCATGAGATTACATCATGCTCTGGCATCAAATCAAACACCATCCTGGCGTCATGCACTAAAGTGCACTTTGAATACATATCGATGAGGCCAACACTCACAAATGTATCAGACTCAGTATCCATTTTGATCAAATTAGAGTGTACTTGCTTGCCCAATTCTTTCATTCCAATTCCAGCACAGGCTTTAAGAATGCTTGACAAAGTGAACTTATTTGGAAAAGTCCCTGCATCTTTCATCTGTCCCAGTAATTCCAACGCCCAATCATGACATCCATGAAGAACACAACCAGCAATAGCAGCATTCCAAGAAACAATATCTGGTAGGGCAATATTCTGAAAAATTGCCATAGAAGCCTCAAAATCTCCTAGTTTCGAATACATGTCCACAAGTGCATTGTTTGAGTATAGATCCGAATCATACCCAAGCTTTACTAAATACCCATGAACTCTCTTTCCTTGACTATAATCCTCTGATCCTGTGCACGCATTCAAGATACTTGACAAACTAAACTCATTAGGTTTAGTTCCTTCTGCAACCATTTCCTTAAATTGATCAACTGCTTCTCCATAGCAATCATTCTGTACATAACCAGAAAACAAGGCATTCCAAGAAATGACATTCCGCTCAGGAATCTCATCAAACAGTCTCTTACAATCCTCGAGCTCTCCGCATTTGGCATACATTACAACCAAAGTATTGGCAACAAATACATCGGACTCGTAGCCAGTGACAACCACAATCCCATGAATCTGCTTCCCTCCCTTCAAATCCTTTGTGATCGAGCATGCTTTGAGAACACTCGGAAATGTGAATTCATTGCACTTAACACCCGATGAGTGCATCTCAATGAAAGCTGACAACGCTTCTTTGCCGAACCCATTCTGGGCATACCCAGATATAAGAGCAGACCAAGAAACCAAATCCGGTTCAGGAATTTCGTCAATCAGGTTGCGAGCGAAACAAAAAATCTGACGTTTTGAATATAAATTGATCAAATGATTGCGAAGTGCGGTGTCTTCCGAAAACCCAGATTTGATTATGTGGGCATGAATTTGCATTCCTTGTTTGAGAGACTTGGAGGAACTGCATTCTACTAAGAGCTTAGAGTACACGTTGGACGTCGGGGTGAAGTGACCTTTCTCTATCAAGCTTAAGATAGCTTGGGTTTTTTCTCTGCAAAATATAGCGTTGGTTTGGATAAATTTGGCAGCGTAAACAAGTTGAGAAAATGGAGGAAAGGATTTTAATAGCCGATAGAAACGCTGGTGCACAACCTTATGGAGGGTATTGAGCCGCCAAAGCTTCATCATCCATAGTTTGGTGTCGTTTGTCTTCTCATCCTGACCGCCATCAGTGTCCTACTCTAATTCCCTAAATACAACCATCACTCAGGTCCACTTCTACTGACCCTTCAACTCTTCTGCTAACCAATTTAGCACCGACTCAGATGATGCTAAGGCACGACGGACGACCAAACCAGAATATAACTCAGACCACAACAGCTGCCAATAATAATGCTCTTCACCCTACTCGCCCCTTTGTCACCGGGCTAGTCGTTGGGCCCGTGTGGTACACGAATGTGATAAATAAGTCTATGCATTAATGGATGACAAGCATAAGTATGCAGTTAGTGTCGAGGGGATCTCATGCTTAATCTTTACATGCTCTTGGTTTATTCGACTACCTACCTCCCCTCAAAGATTAGTTAAGCTTTTGGGGGAGTGACATAAAAATACACCAAAAAGATGAAAAATCATACTAGGTAATTACAACAATGCCATAGGCAATCCCCCCATACAAAATACAAGCATTGCCCCACCCAAGATACATGCTTGGATGCTCGGGTGACGGTTGTAGGCACAATGGATGGCACTTGATGGCGCGGCGAAGAGAACACTTGTGATAGTCTTCCCCACTCAATTCAATCTTCATCCTTGAAGATAGGCTTCTGCTTGTGGCTCGGATCTACTATTGATGAAGGAGGGTTCTTTTGCTGCTCCACGAACTTTGTCTCTTCCAAGGCCCGGGCATAAGGTTGGGTGGAAGGCTTTAGGGTGTTCTTGATGGTGGGAAAACCTATGAATAGTTCCTACGTTAAGTCCTTGTCTGGCTGTTTCAAGGTAGGATTTTGGATGTTTTGATTTGGTGGTAGGAAAGTCTTTGGCCAGGGCTAGGTCAAAACGATGGTTTGGATTTTTCGGAGATTAGCTCCCATGATGATTTGTCCCCCAAGGGTTGTTCCTCACAAGGTTCCTATGAGGATTGGTTGGATCAATGTGGTGGTGGAAAGGACACCTAAATGGTTTAGGTGGTACTCACTCTCCCCGACGATGGTGATGGCCTTGGGTCTTCCAGGAATCTTCTCTCCAGTCGACTTGTGGTGCTGACGTTGGTGTTGGTGTTGATGTTGATGTTAATGTTGACGTGGTGTTGGTGCTAGAACGGCTTTGGAGGAGACTTCTTCTTGGTGACAACTTCCCAACTCGTTAATGTGCTGATGTAAGATGATTGAGAGGGGGTCTTCCTTGTTGACACGACACTGGCTTCATGGTTGCTTGTTTCTTGGTACAATTGTAAGGCTTAAAGCTACTTCCTATGTATTTGCAGGGCTGATGTTACGGGAATCATGCAAGGGGAGTGCTCATCCAAGATAAGTAAGCTGTTGATGTATGGCATAAGTGCTGCTTCCACCTGCGTGAAGAAATCTAGTCTAAGAACAACCTGAAAATCATCCAAAGGTACCACAGATATATTGATGGGTCATTTCCATAGTCTAACTTGGAGCTCTACTCCACGAGCCTTGCCTTCTATTGCTTTGGCCCCAGAGTTGACAGCCTTGATCCACCTTGTTTGTTTGGTGGTGGTCAAGCCGAGTTGCTTTGCCTCCGCAATGCTAGATGAAGTTGTGGGTGGCCCTAGTGTCCACCAAGGCTTGGGTTGGCCTCCCGCCGAGGGTGATGTCTATATATTTCAACCCTTTATG